CCCCAAAACCCCAAAACCCCATATTCCTTAGGCTAGTTTAAATCTTAAGGCAAAGTTTTATCTGTAAAATTTGAACAATTAAGATTTTATATGTCTAACTTAGAGAAATATATTTAAATATTAAAGATTTATACCCATCTTGATTTGATAAATTGATTGAATAATCAATTGACTAAGTTTCATAATCAGATTCCTTGGCTATTCTTGCCTAGATTAAACCCATCATCATCAAAGCTAACCTCGTTGATAATGTCCTCACTCACCATAAGTCCTAGACGGTTATTTCTCATGTTCTAATGTGCATCCTGCTGACTCTAAGAATACATTGAATCATAGCCATGCATAGAATTATTTATCAGCTGATTTGCATTTTTATTATAGCCTGAGCCACTGAATCTCTAGTACTCATCAATGTTCATAGCTGCTTCACGGGAATTCCTCTGACTTAGAAGGGACATGTCAGGAATGCCTGGGTGGAAGAACTGAGAGATGCCACTCTTATCACTTCTTCTTGGATCGTTATCATCTAATGCTACAGAGTTAATATCCATCCTAGAGTTGTATGATTAGATTGACTCATGATTGTTATTATTGTCTTATTTTTACATTTTATCCACAGTTTCGTCCTCAATCGACCATCGAGCCATGTTTTTAACTAAGCCGTCCATCTATATTTAATCAACATTGACCTTCGGACTAGTCTAATTATTCTAAGCTTTGAATATTGAATCAACACTTGATCTGGCTTAAGAGTCATTATTATTCTAATCGTTCACTTCAGGATTTTATTTTAGTCTTTATTATTACTCCTTCCATAGCCTGAATTATCTCAACTCTTCTTCATCAATTGGCTCCATAAGAGTTTGTCTATACTAGACACCTTGCTAATTTTCTTGGAATTAAGGGGACTAATGTATTCTTTATTATATTTACTTAAGCATGTCTTATTATTCAGGAAACTCGTTATTCCCATTTTCTTTATAACTTGAGTTCTAGCTTTATAAACCTAAAGAACTGTCAATTTTTGTAACCTGAAACAGCTACTATGGTCGTGGTATTTCTTTGTTCTAAGTTTATTGCAGCCCTGATGGTTTGACTTGCTGATTTTGAGGAAGGAATTAGTTCTGAATGCTTGTCTTTTTGTTTTCTGTTAAAAAGATCACATTTTTGTAGTAGTCGTCACTTGATTTTTGAGTTTAAAAAATGGGCTATGCAATAGAACCATAGTTATTGGAAGCTTTTTTCTCCACATAAAAGATATCTTTCTCATTTTCCTAAATATTTATGATTAAGATACAGATAGAAGATAAAATAAGATTTTCGATAAAAGTTTGCTGGTCATGTATATATTGACCTGAAAAGATTGATAGATAAACTTACTCTGTATTTTCCAGCAGTTTTAAATAGTCTTGTGTTATAATTCTTGCTAATTGATTTTGTTTTATTCATGGGGAAGTTGTAATTTTAATCGATAAAATTTAAATCTGTTTCGCCGCCTCTTCTTTTGCTTGATAGTAATGCATCGAATATCGCCAAATCTCTCATATTTCCCTTCTTGCATAATTTATTGAAATACTTCTAAGCATGAGAACGAGTCTATGCACTAGTTCTAGTGCTTATGTGATCCTAGACTTTGTTCCAGTCTTTCCCATAAAGTCTTAAAGCCTCTAGGAATCGTAAGTGCTCCTCGTGTGTCCATCTTCCATTGTTTATACTAGAATGCTTGCTTTTTGAATTTTCATTTTTATCCGATTGACCAGCTGTGCCGTCAGTATAACTTCCTGATAGCCCGAGCTCATTAGTATTCTCGTTGTTATACTAGTCACCCATGTTCGATTTCTACGAGGGGTCAAGCTCGGAGTCGTCAAATTGAGAGAATCCTTCATTTTATTAATATTGATGGTGGTCGAAAGATCTACTCTGCCTGTTTTTGGCTGTAAACTGAGATCTATGATGTGGATTGAAATTTCTCTCATCAATCAAATCCCTCAAATTACTGAATGGGAATTCTCCTTCTTGAAATATCAATGGGTTCTAGGAGACATAGTAGGGTGCACCAGGTCTCTTTAAATCACCCCAGTCGTCTTACATTAGTATATTTGATCTTCTATTCTCATTTTATTGTGACTCTTTACTTTATTCTGGCTTTGCAAGCAAATCATCTAAATTCAAAATTTTATATTTGAAAGCAATATATACCAATATTCATTCCTGACAGTCGGTTTTCAAGCTAGGTTGTGCTCATTGACTCGGATTTTATATGAGATTAATTTTATTATTACATGATCTACGCTTCCATAATACGATTCAGATTTAATATCAATTTATCTAATTAATGTCTAGATTTATCTTTAGAGATTCAACACATCTACTTTTTGTAGTTTTAAGCATCATGGGGTTTTGGGGTTTTGGGGTTTTGGGG